TTTATTGATGATTATTGGTGATTGGAATGTGAAAGTTGGAAACAAGAATCACTGGTAGTTGGACAATATGACCTTGGTGATAGAAATGATGCTGGAGATTGCATAATGGAATTTGTAAGACCAATGATTTATTCATTCCAAATATCTTTTTTCAATAACATGAATGGGGGTTATACATGTGGACTTTGCCAGTTGGAATACACAGAAATCAGACTGACTACATCTGTGGAAAGAGGTGATGGAGAAGCTCAATATCTTCAGCCAAAACAAGGCCAGGAGCTGATTGTGGAACAAACCATCAAATGCTCATATGCAAGTTAAAGTTGAAGCTGAAGACAATTAAAACAAAGCAGGAACAGTCAAACTATGACCTTGATTATATCCCACCCGAATTTAGAAACTATGTGAAGAATAGGTTTGACACATTGAACACCAATGACAAAAAACTACGAGTTGTGGGATGACATGAAGAACATCATCCATGAAGAAAGTAAAAGGTCATTAAAAGACAGGAAAGGAAGAAAAGACAAAAATGAATGGTGGCAGAGACTCTGAAACTTTCTCTTGAAAAGCAAATGGAAGAAATGACAAGATAACAGAGCTGAACTGAAGATTTCAAAGAACAGCTCAAAAAGACAAAGTCAATTATTATAATGAAATGTGCAAAGATCTGGAGTTAGAAATCCAAAAGGGAAGAACACTTTAGGCATTTCTCAAGCTAAAAGATCTGAAGAAGAAATTCAAGCCTCAAGTTGCAATATTGAAAGATACTATAGACAAAATATTGAATGATGCAGGAAGCATCAAAAGAAAATGAAAGGAGTATACTAAGTTACTGTTTCAAAAAGAATTGGTCAAAGTTCAACTATTTCAGGAGGTGTCATAGATCAAGAACCAATGGTGTTACAGGAAGAAGTCAAAGCTCCACTGAAGGAACTGGTGAAAAACAAGGCTCCAGGAATTGACAGAACACCCACTGAGATGTTTCAACAAACAGATGTTGTGCTGGAGGCACCTACTAATCTATGCCAAGAAATTTGGAAGATAGCTAGCTACCTGGCCAACTAACTGGAGGAGATCCATATTTGTACCCATTCTGAAGAAAGAGAATTCAACAGAATCACAAGTAAAATCTTGCTGAATTAAAGCACAGTTGTAGCAGTATATTGATAGTGAACTTTCACAAATACAAACTGGATTCAGAAGAGGACATGGGACAAGGGATATCATTGTTGATGTCAAATGGATCTTGGCTGAAAGCAAAGAATACCAGAAAAACGTTCACTTGTGTTTCATTGACTATGCAAAAGCATTTGATTGTGTCATCATAACAAATTATGGGTAACATTGAGAAGAATGAGAATTCCAGAACAATTAATTGTGCTCATGAGGAACCTGCACATAGACCAAGGCTATCATTCAAGCAGAAAAAGGGGATACTGCATGGTTCAAAATCAGGAAGAGAATGCATCAGGGTTGCATCCTTTCACCATACTTATCCAATCTGTGTGCTGAGCAAATGATCTGAGAACCTGGACTATATGAAGAAGAACGTGGCATCAGTATTGGAGGAAGACTCATTAACAACCTGCAATATGCAGATGACACAATCTTCCTTGCTGAAAGTGAAGATGACTTTAAACACTTATTGATGAAGATCAAAGACTGCAGTATGGATTGCAACTCAACATAAATAAAAATAAAATTCCTCACAACTGGACCAATAAGCAGCATCATAATAAATGTAAAAAGATTGAAGTCATCAAAGATTTCATATTA